TAGATCAAGCGCATCTGATCAATGCACATTTCATCCTGCACTAAGGTACAACTCTTTATGCTGCATTTGTTACAATGGCGATGGAGTCATTAACCCCTTCTGGACATCCAAATCAATGTTATTGTAATACCTACAAAGCACCTTGCACTTGACCACATTGTTGTACACATAGAACCCAGGTGTGACCATGATTCGAACCATGGTTGGGACCAACTTCTTAGCCTTGTCTCCAGTCATATCCTCCATGTAAACTGAGTCAAATCTAACCCCTTTGTCCACTCTGAAAATGGGTAGATTTGGGTGCACCGAGTTGGCCAAAAGGTGCACTAGCCACACAGATTTTGATGCACCAAAAAACGCTTGCAAGAGTGGCTCAGACCAAGCTCTGTTCCATCCCAACATGGCCACAATTTCACTCATTTTCCTATCACAAAACTTGCTGAAATCTTCACTAAAATGTCTTGTTCCTTTGTTCAAAACTTCATCCCATGTCAACCCTTGTAAAGCATAGAACATCGCGAAATTTGCTTCACAACGATCGATCGGATTCAAGATTTGATTTGGTGAACTCTTTTGGAACCCAATGGACTCAAAATCTTCAAAAAATGCTCTGTTTAACAAGGCCTCGAGATAGAAAGTTAGTAGGCTTCTAGGATTTCTTGATAGTGAAATCTTGATATCGAAAGGTTGAAGTAGCAATGCAATTCTGTCGAAGACTTTCCCACCCATTTGTCTTAACTGAACCGTTAAAGATCGACTCAAAATCCGAATTGATGATCTTGCTTCAGAAACAGAAACCAAGAAATGCTCGATAACTTTTTCTTGATCCCCGACTTTTATGCATTCGTAATTCAAATGAGAAGACGAACAAATCTTTGGATTTTGATATGGAGAAGCATTACTAGTGCTGCTACACACTTCAAGCCCAGATTTCAAGCTATGGCAGTAAATTTCTAGCTTGCTTAGCTTCTTTTCGAGCTCGGCCATTGAATACTTCAATTTCGAAGCTTCAAGAATGGCTTCGTCTCTCTTTCTAGTGGCCTTAATCAGCTTATTCGAAAGCTCAGCCACCCCGATCTTCCACTGCTCCTCCCTAGACACAGTGGAGGAGCCACCATCTGATGATTTAGGACTTTTTTTCCCTAAAGAAGCTAAAATTGATTTGAATATCCAATTGGGACTAGCCAATGAAAGCTTATGAACACCATTATTCTCTAAAGGAACAACCGAAAATTTCTCTCGGTTGTTTGGCCGGCACTTATTGCACAAAACTCCGGCAGTCTCATCACCTTCCGGCCTCGTTTTCGATGACCCTTTGCCTCGATTTTCCGAACTATGTTGATGCAACGGCGTAGGATGGTGCCTATATTCACTAGGAGTTGTTGCTCTGAAACTGCTTCTACCTTGTGAAATTTCTTCATCTTCATTTCCTTCTTCAATCTGCAAAAAACTCACAAAAATAACTACATAAAAAATCACACACACAGTTTTCTCAAAAATAAGCACCCAAATTTTGTGCACAAAACACGCACACAAATAATGTATGTATAGTTTGGAATGCTAATTCCTCATCTTCTAACCTTCTTAAATCTGCAAAAACCAACAGAGGAAAATAAAACACACACAATTTTCACACACACATAGGCACCAAAGTTTTCTGTACATACATGCATATGTTTACACACACATAAATAATGTATGTATAGTTTGGAATATTCATCATTTCCATCGCCTTCTTATATCTGCAAAATAAAAAAGAAAAAGAAAAAACCCCAAAAAAAATAACAACGAGCAAATCAAACACACACAGGTTTTGTGTACATAAATATACAAACAAACACACATAAATATGTATGTAAAGTTTGGAATACTAAAACACCTCATCTTCATTACCTTCTTGAATCTGCAAAAACCCACAAAAAAACAGCCAACAAATAAAAAACATACAATTTTCACATACAGGCACCCAAATTTTGTGTGTATGTATCTATCTATCTACAGACACACACATAAATGATATATGTAATAGTTTAGAAAATTATTCATCTTCATTACCTTCTTAAATCTGCAAAAATCCCACAAAAAACAACAAAAAATCAAACATAACAATTTTCACAAACATAAAGAAAGTATGTATAGGTTTGAATACTTACAGGGGTAAAATGGGCTGGGTGGTGGGGTGAGAGAGAGGGTATAGAAGAGGAAGAAGAACTGGAATTAGCCATGGATTTCATTATGTAACTAGCTTGTAGCAGTAACGTTTTTGGCTTTACACTTGTGTCCTTGAGATATAAATGTACAAGAAAACGGTTCAATTAAATCTTTATCTTTGACTTTTTTTTTCTTTTTTTTTTTTTAATTAGGATTCTATCGTTTTCATTTAAGGTTGTGTTTTCGTCGGTTTGTAATGATAAATTTTCCAGATTTTGCAGGTTTTTCGAAGACTGAATCAATATTTCATCTTCATCTACCCAATTGCAATCACTAAATGCAGAGGGCCACGGGCTACTCCGTTTTGAGCTTCACGCCCTGCCAAATAAATATTCATTGGCTTTGTTCAGGAAGTTGAATTTTTATTGGCGCGTGTCTATCAATGATCAGTAGCGTGAGTGGGTTTAATAATTATTATTTTTTAATAATTAATTTATAAATTTGTTAGATGAAACTATAAGGCCATATTTGATAGGCTTATATTTTCTATTTCCATTTCCATTTTCCATCTTTTATGTGTTTGATGGCACAAATTTGATATGGAATTTATTTTTCATCTTTTGTTGACACATAAGCAAATTCCATCAAATGGTGGAATTTCAATTCTCACCATTTTTGGTGGGAATTTCAATTCCCACCTTTTGACCTTTTTTTTTTTAATTTCTTTAATTTCTTTAATTTTTTATTTTGCAATTGAAACAAATTTTAAAAAATTATTGTAAGAAATTATATCTTTTTAATTGACAATTTTCATATAAAACAAAATCAAACGAACACTAAAAAATAAATGATTTTATTTATTTATTTATTTATTTATTTTGTTTTTTGCAATGGAAATAAATTTCATTCTCAATGCTAATAAAATATATTCCTTTAATTGACAATTTTCATGTAAAACAAAGCCAAAAGAATCCCAAAAGACACTTTTATTTCAATATTTTCACATGAAAAATTATACCAATCAAACACAATAATTTACAATTCCTAAGAAAACAATTTCTAGGCAATTCAATTCCCTGAAATTCTTTTCAATTCAATTCAATTCCATCTTTGCAATCAAACAGATCCTAATGATTTTTTTGCCACTTAAAGAATGTTACATAAATGGTTCGAAGTTTACGTTCGTAGTCACTCAATTTAAAATAATTGAAGTTTTAGTCCCTACTTGTCACCCATTATTTTTTTACCGTACTTATTTTCAACTAAATATTTTTCATTAAAATAATATTACACACAAATTAAAAACTTTTCATTCCTTTTTAAGCACACATTCTCCATTAATCTACTTTTCCATAATATATTTTGAAAAAACTAAAGGGGCTCAAACACACCCTAAAGATCACAAAACAAAAAAGGGTTTTGTATAACCTCAATTCATCGGCTTCAATCTTTCACCAATTAAGTTTTCATAAAGATTTTATCAGAAAGTTATCTAATTTAAGATGTGTTTGAGCCCAATTTTGTGAGAGAACAAGTTTTTGTAATAGTGATTTTTTAAATAATGTGTGATTAAAACATGGAATTTTTTTTTTTTTTTGAATTTATATGAATATTTGCTTTATTTAAAAAATTTATGATTAAAAAATGAGTTTTTGCCTCCATTTGGCCCCCATTAATTTTCATTCAATTATATTTTATTTTTCTCTTTCCTATTTTTGACCACACAATATTTCATAAAATAATATTACACGTAAATCGAACATTCTTATTTATTTTTCAACCACTCATTTTTCAAAAAACTATTATTATATCCATTTTCATTTCCACAAAATAGGGCCAAACGAGGGATTTATGAAATGGAGTCAAAGAGGGACGTTCAATTAACTTCTTTTTCAAGGACCATACCTACTCATTACAAGTTGTCGAAGTTATTTTCTCTCTTTTATTGAAATTTGATGGAGATGCAAAGGAAATTAAAATATTGATTACTTAGGTACATTCGCTAATACCGTAAATTTACCATAGAAATATATGTAGTTTGTTATTTTGTTTGATGTTGCGTAGTCAAATGTATTAAATATGACATAACTACTTAAGATAAATAACAAGAAATTTGTCAGGCCCCCTTGACCGAGGTCGCGCCCAAAAAAGGGACCCCCTATTTGTGGGGTTTGATCAGGCCCCCTATTTTTCTAGCAAGTCCCAAATTACAAATGCCTCGTTGGAATTATCTAGCAATTTTATTTTAGGTTTAGTTTGAAAACAAATGACTGTTTAAACTTGTAAGAGTTTGAATTTGAAATCGTGAGCGGTTTATGTGATTAAGCTCCTGTTCGAGTTTCATTTTTGTAAGAAAATATGACTTTGTTTGTCTACTATTTTTCTATATTCTATCACATTATTTTTTTACAGTACTCATTTTCAATCACATATTCTTTATTGAAGTAATATTATACGTAAATCAAAAAAATTTCCTTCTTTTTTAACCATACATTTCAACATTAATCATTATTTCATGATATATTACTCAATTTACTCACAAATAATGGGACACAAACAAGCACTATATTTTAAAATAGTAAATTTTTTAAAAAATGTGATTAAAAATAAGAAAAAATTTCAATTTACAGTAAAATTATATTATTAGAAAATATATGGTTGAAAATAAGTTTTGAACAGTGAATTGTTTGAAAAAAAAATGGGAACATAAACTCAAAAATTATTTTCAAATAAAATAAAAAGGGGAACGAAGGAATTAAAATTACAAGCAAATGTATACCTACCGTTGGAGAAACAATAAATGTGACATTACTATTAATTGCAGTAGTAACAGCTTTATAATTATTATAGGGTAGGCCCACTCCAATGCCACTCACATTGTTGAACAATGCTATATGGCACAATTGATGTTGAAATACGTGACATTGTTTGATACATTCAATTAAAAATGAAATTATTATCTAAATTGGTATAATAATATCAGTGGTACTAATTAGCATTATTATTAAATTCTACTCATATTCTACTTAGTTCTTGTTTAGTGCCTATTATTTTAGTTTATTTTTTATAAAAAAAAGTTTTGAATAGTATTTTTAGGATATCGTATGATTAAAAGCAAGAAAAAGTTTTGAAATTATATGTAAAATATTTTATTGCGTGTTAAACGAACACTAAAAAATAAATGATTTTCTTTATTTATTTATTTATTTTATTTTTTGCAATGGAAATAAATTTCATTCTCAATGCTAATAAAATATATTCCTTTAATTGACAATTTTCATGTAAAACAAAGCCAAAAGAATCCCAAAAGACACTTTTATTTCAATATTTTCACATGAAAAATTATACCAATCAAACACAATAATTTACAATTCCTAAGAAAACAATTTCTAGGCAATTCAATTCCCTGAAATTCTTTTCAATTCAATTCAATTCCATCTTTGCAATCAAACAGATCCTAATGATTTTTTTGCCACTTAAAGAATGTTACATAAATGGTTCGAAGTTTACGTTCGTAGTCACTCAATTTAAAATAATTGAAGTTTTAGTCCCTACTTGTCACCCATTATTTTTTTACTGTACTTATTTTCAACTAAATATTTTTCATTAAAATAATATTACACACAAATTAAAAACTTTTCATTCCTTTTTAAGCACACATTCTCCATTAATCTACTTTTCCATAATATATTTTGAAAAAACTAAAGGGGCTCAAACACACCCTAAAGATCACAAAACAAAAAAGGGTTTTGTATAACCTCAATTCATCGGCTTCAATCTTTCACCAATTAAGTTTTCATAAAGATTTTATCAGAAAGTTATCTAATTTAAGATGTGTTTGAGCCCAATTTTGTGAGAGAACAAGTTTTTGTAATAGTGATTTTTTAAATAATGTGTGATTAAAACATGGAATTTTTTTTTTTTTTTGAATTTATATGAATATTTGCTTTATTTAAAAAATTTATGATTAAAAAATGAGTTTTTGCCTCCATTTGGCCCCCATTAATTTTCATTCAATTATATTTTATTTTTCTCTCTCCTATTTTTGACCACACAATATTTCATAAAATAATATTATACGTAAATTGAACATTCTTATTTTTTTTCAACCACTCATTTTTCAAAAAAAAAAACATTATTATATTCATTTTCATTTCCACAAAATAGGGCCAAACGAGGGATTTATGAAATGGAGTCAAAGAGGGACGTTCAATTAACTTCTTTTTCAAGGACCATACCTACTCATTACAAGTTGTCGAAGTTATTTTCTCTCTTTTATTGAAATTTGATGGAGATGCAAAGGAAATTAAAATATTGATTTTGAAAACAAATGACTGTTTAAACTTGTAAGAGTTTGAATTTGAAATCGTGAGCGGTTTATGTGATTAAGCTCCTGTTCGAGTTTCATTTTTGTAAGAAAATATGACTTTGTTTGTCTACTATTTTTCTATATTCTATCACATTATTTTTTTACAGTACTCATTTTCAATCACATATTCTTTATTGAAGTAATATTATACGTAAATCAAAAAAATTTCCTTCTTTTTTAACCATACATTTCAACATTAATCATTATTTCATGATATATTACTCAATTTACTCACAAATAATGGGACACAAACAAGCACTATATTTTAAAATAGTAAATTTTTTAAAAAATGTGATTAAAAATAAGAAAAAATTTCAATTTACAGTAAAATTATATTATTAGAAAATATATGGTTGAAAATAAGTTTTGAACAGTGAATTGTTTGAAAAAAAAATGGGAACATAAACTCAAAAATTATTTTCAAATAAAATAAAAAGGGGAACGAAGGAATTAAAATTACAAGCAAATGTATACCTACCGTTGGAGAAACAATAAATGTGACATTACTATTAATTGCAGTAGTAACAGCTTTATAATTATTATAGGGTAGGCCCACTCCAATGCCACTCACATTGTTGAACAATGCTATATGGCACAATTGATGTTGAAATACGTGACATTGTTTGATACATTCAATTAAAAATGAAATTATTATCTAAATTGGTATAATAATATCAGGGGTACTAATTAGTATTATTATTAAATTCTACTCATATTCTACTTAGTTCTTGTTTAGTGCCTATTATTTTAGTTTATTTTTAAAAAAAAAAAAGTTTTGAATAGTATTTTTAGGATATCGTATGATTAAAAGCAAGAAAAAGTTTTGAAATTATATGTAAAATATTTTATTGCGTAAATATGTTATTGAAAATAATTCCGTAGCAAAAAGAGTTAATATCACCTAA